AATGATCTGTTACTAGAGATCAAGTCCAACAAGAAGAGGATATCTAAAACAAATGCACCAGTTCTGGAAAGAACAACATCCAGAATCAGAAATAACAGAACAGAGACTAGCAGATCAACCCAGATTTATAATACGAAATAAAGTATTCACAGAAACAGAATTGGACGAACTGCAAAGGTTTACCTAGGGCAAAGAAATCAAAGCCTTACCAGAAGTAATTCAGAATGTAGAGGCAAACCAGGGGGAGTTGGAAGTGAAGGAATCCAGCAGAGATATACAACTGTTCTCATTTGGAAACCAGGCACCTCTTCCTCAGGAAGAACAAAACTCTCTAACTAAAGAAATAAAAGAATTGAAACAAAGAATAACCGAGCATCTAGAACAGCACAAAAACAACAGAATAAGGCTGCCTGCATTGAAGCTTGTTCCAAAGAAACAGCTAGCACAAGCATTAAAAGATGAAAATACTGCAATATCAAGTATAAGCACCAATTCACTGCAAGAAACAAACCAACTAATGTACAGCACAGCTGCAGTTATAACAGAATACCTGGGAGGCAAAATCAACAAAGAAGAAAAACAAACAAACAGTGCACCACAAAAATGGAAGGTTAGACTAGAAAATAAGATCAGCAAGTTAAGATCACATGCAAGCAAGCTAGAACAGAGGAAAGAAAAGAAGCTGAAGAACAAGAAGACCAAAGAATACCTAATCAAGAAATACCACTTAGAAACAAGGAAGATCAAGGAAGCACTGGAAATAATAAAGCAACAAATAACAGCTATAGCCAGGAAAATCAGTAGATATGAAGCTCGAATTGCAAACTATAGGCAGAACCTCCAATTTCAATCTAATCAGAAACGCTTCTACCAATCCATCAATGGAGAAACTGCAATGAATCAGTCAGTACCTGACAAGGAAGAAACAGTGCAATTCTGGAAGCAGATATGGGATAACCCAAAGAAATACAACAAGGATGCAGCTTGGTTAAAAGAGGTGGATGCAAATAAAACAGAAGTTGAAATGAAAGAACTAGTAATAACAACAAAAATGGTAGAAAAAAAGAGCAAGGAAAATCAAAAATGGTCAGCACCAGGTGAAGATGAACTGCATGGGTTTTGGTTGAAACATCTAACTGTTATACACCCACTCATTGCCAAGCAGTTCAACAATATACTACAAGGAGGAGAAATTGAAAAGTGGCTAACAACTGGGAAAACCTACCTAATAATGAAAAATCCAGCAAAAGGGGCAACACCAGGCAACTACCGGCCAATTACCTGTTTACCAACAACTTTCAAATTACTAACTGGTGTGGTAGCTGATGCAGTACAACAGCATCTAGTTGAAAACAATCTCTTTCCACCTGAGCAGAAAGGAAACCGCCCCAATAGCAGAGGAACAAAAGATCAAATCCTAATAGACAAAATGATCTTGGAAAACTGCAAGAGAAGGAAGACCAACCTGAATGTGGCATGGATTGACTACAAAAAGGCATTTGACTCTCTGCCACATGATTGGATAATAAAGTGCCTAGAAATAACAGGAGTCAGTAGAAACATCAGAAAAATTGTGCAAAGATCGATGGCACAATGGAAGACACAGTTGCAGATCAATGGTGAGAGGCTGGGAGAGGTTAATATCAAGAGAGGAATATTTCAAGGAGATTCATTATCACCATTACTATTTGTTATTGCACTGTTTCCTCTGTCAACAATACTGAATAACTCAGGACATGGCTATCAAACATCAAAAACATCTGCCAAACTATCCCACCTCCTTTATATGGATGATCTGAAGCTGTATGGAAAAACATCATCAGAAATAGAATCGCTGCTCAACACTGTCCGTATATATAGCCAAGATATTGTAATGGAGTTTGGCTTGGACAACTGTGCCACACTTACTATCAAACAAGGAAAAATAATGAAAACTGAAGGAATCAAGATGCCCCACGAAAATAACATTAAGAGTCTGGATGAGGAAGAGTACTACAAATACTTGGGTATCCTTCAAGCTGACAACATCAAGCACACTGAAATCAAGAAAAAGATTAGAGATGAATACATCAAGAGAGTGAAGAAGATCTTAAAGTCCAAACTCAATGGAGGAAATACCATAAAGGAAATCAACACCTGGGCAATTCCAGTCATAAGGTACACAGCTGGAATAATGGACTGGACTCAAGCAGAACTGAAAGCAATGGATAGGAAAACCAGAAAAATAATGACAATGAATCATGCCTTTCATCCACGCAGTGACATTGACAGACTTTATCTACCAAGGCAAATAGGTGGGCGTGGAATGCTACAAGTACATCAGATGGTTGAAGAAGAAAAAGTGGCTTTGGAAGAATATCTGAAGAACAATGATGAAGATGCACTGAAATTAGTATATCAGGAAGGTTTACTAACTACTGGAGAGACCAAAGTGGCCTACAAGAAAGACCAAATGAAGAACAGAATAGAGGCATGGGAAGACAAAACACTACATGGCCAATACATGAAAAAAATAGCTGGGAAAGCAGATAATAATAAAACCTGGCAATGACTAAGAGCAGGAAAATTGAAGAAAGAGACCGAGGGACTAATTCTGGCTGCACAAGACCAAGCCTTAAAGACAAATGCATATAAAGTCAAAATTGAGAAGACAGCAACAGACAGTAAGTGCCGCCTATGCAAAGAAGCTGAAGAAACAGTGGATCACCTGGTAAGCTGTTGCAAGAAGATTGCACAGATTGACTATAAGCAGCGGCATGACAAAGTAGCAACAATGGTGCATTGGAAGATCTGCAAAAAATATCATTTGCCTGTAAACAAAAACTGGTGGGATCATAAAATAGAGAAAGTCATAGAAAATGATAAAATTAAACTGCTATGGGACTTCAGAATTCAAACAGACAAGCACCTGCAACATAACACCCCAGACTTAACAATTGTCGATAAGAAAGACAAAAAAGTCTGGATAGTGGACGTGGCAGTGCCTGGAGATAGCAGAATAGAAGAGAAAGAATTGGAGAAAATAACAAAATACAAAGACCTACAAATAGAAATAGAAAGACTGTGGCAAAAGCAAGCAAGGGTAGTACCAATAGTGATAGGCTCCTCGGGTGCAATCCCAAAACAACTGGAGCACCACTTGAACACCATTGGCATTGACAAATTCGCTATTAGTCAATTGCAAAAGGCAGCCTTACTAGGAACTGCTTCCATCCTGCGACGATATCTGTAATACCATCAAACATCCACGTCTGCCTATTCCAGGTCCTGGGTAAGGACTTGATAGGTAGACAAAATGCCAAATCCAGTCTGAACATCTGGCTGACTGTGCGATGATTCATAATAATAATGGCAGTACATGAAAATAGCAGAAAAGAAGAGAAAGAACTGGTGAAAATAACAAAATAGAAAGACCTGCAAATAGAAACATTTATTTATTTATTTATTTATTTATGAGACTTATATACCGCTTTAAGTGCAAGCACTCTCTAAGCGGTGTACACCAGTAAGCAATGTATATATATATTTACATTGCCCCCAACAATCTGGATCCTCATTTTACCTACCCTGGAAGGATGGAAGGCTGAGTCAACCTTGAGCGGGTGAGATTTGAACCGCTGACCTGCTGAACATAGTCAGCTAAAGTGGCGTGCAGTACTGCACTCTAACTGCTGCACCACAGAAAGCAAAGGTAGTGTCAAAAGTGCCTTGGATGCAATCCCCAAACAACTGGAGCACTATTGGCATTGATCAAATCTCTAGCAGTAAATTGCAAAAAGGCAGCTTTACTTGGAACAACTTATATCTTGCAATGAGACCTTAACAGTATCAAATATCAACATCTGCCTATCCCAAGTCTTTAGGAAGGACTTGATAGGTGAATAAAAATGTCGATTCAGCCTGAATGTCTGCCTGACTGTATAAACACCATAAAAAGAATAAGGTTGAAAAGGTTAGCTCTCAACAAATACAACCTTTTAGTAACCACTGCATAGTTTTTAAATTTCTTAATAACATTTTAATCTTCCCAAGAATATTGCCAGTTATTGATGTCAGACTAAATTCTATTTTCTCATGTGCTTCTTTCCATTATTTTTGAAAACTAAAACAACAGTTTTCCTTTCACTAAATATATACTTTTTTGCGGGGTGTGGGGGAGAATGATATTATCACGTCAAGGTTACAAAAATCTGGTTGATGCTTAGAAGACTAAAGTGAGCTGGAGTTTCTCTCCTTCTTTTATGATTCAGTTATTATATGCTTGTTTGTTTTCAGGGTTTCTGAAAGTTAAATAATAGAAATTACCAATATGTGGTTTCAGTCACTTACAATACACTAGGATACAATTTATTTGCTTCAGAAATTTCAACTCATTCAAGGTCAGTTGGTATTCCCTAAATGCAGTGCTTTTTTTCTAAAAAAAAAAAAGTGCCAGAACTCACACACATCATGCAATCCGCCTTGCCTACCCTACAAGGTTTCATCCAAAAAGGTGCCAGAAATCCTTTCTGGGCGTTCTATGAGAAAAAAAGCCCTCCTAAATATATTTCTATCAGAGTTAACCTGCATTCTGTATGAATTTGTAAATTATTATATTTGGACAAGATATTAAATCCTCCTAATATACAAACATAAGCACACAAGACTATTACTTCTGTATGTCAGAATGACCTCACAGCTGAGAACATGTTGAAACTTATGGCTTTCAAGTACAGTGAAATGTGTGCCAAAAACAACATTATAAGTATGCATAAAGCTATTAACAAAAGGTACTAAGAGCTTGGAATGTCACAAACTGTTAGGAAGAAATTGTGCTAGCTGAATACATATGTATGTACGTACGTACGTATGTATATATGTATGTATGTATGTATGTATGTATGTATGTATTACTACACATTTAAATATTATTCTAATGTACATTGCTAGAAGTTAGATATATAGCATAGATAGAATATAATTTGTTTTAAAATAAGCAATATCAGCATGTGAATGCTTACTATTTAAGTGAATCCTGTTCTATGGTTAGGTCAGCTTGTTCTAAGACATTCTGTCTGGACTATGATACTTTGGCATCAGCTTGTATTGACTCCAGATTTCAGGCTGTTATTCTGACCTCTTCCTCTGCTCCCACTGGACAATCTCCTTACTGCTGTAAGCTTTCAATTCCATTTCCAGTTCTGACCTCAAGAAATGGTGGCTGCTCATGTGGATAAGCCCTAAGAAAAGGAGAAAAAATACACAACAAAAGTATTGATACAAATGGAAGTTCACCTTAAATTCCATTTAAGTTCCTGTTTGCAAAATCAGTTGGTGTGTGTGTGTGTGTGTGTGTGTGTGTGTGTGTGTGTGTGTCCAGGTATGTATTCTATAGAATCTGATTTGACTGGTTTTGCTGGTTTGTTTTATATCAAAATATCCAAATCTTCTTATGAATAAACATGACTTTGAGATGATTATTTCTATACCAGCTACATGCCATAAATGACTAGTTTCAGTAGTTGTGGAGTAGTACAGTACCAATCAAGAGTAACATTTATGAAATTATTTACAACCTGATACAGTTAGGTAATGGCCACAGATCATTTCTGATATATTGGAGTGCTGAATAAAGACAACAGTCTAAGTAGCTACTATAACATTGAACTCATAAATACAAGAAGATACATCATACACTCTTTTAGAAGAAACAGCATTTATAAGCACTCTTTGTGGAAACAATAAAATACTGAGAATTAAAAAAAAATGTTTCCTGCATGAACCATTTTTTTTTCTTAAGAACATGTTCTTCATTTACTTATTGGTAGAGGGAGTAATTGCTTTGTTGGTAACTAAGGAAACCTTTCAGAAATTTCATATGCTAAATGAACTATTAAAGCAAGGAACAAATAGATGTAATATTAAATAAGGGAACAATGTGTAACAATTAATTTCTCAGGAAGTTGGCACTGCTTCAGAAAATGATGTATGCTGAAGAAAATGTTGGGCCTAAAGTGATATATAAATTCCTTTGATGTGAAAATTGATTTACTGTCTTTGTAAAAACTGGACTGAGATAAAACAAATGAGAATATCCTCTTGAGCAAAGATCTAAGATTAGAAGGCGTGAAAAGAACCAGCCTCTTCTCAGAATATCTCATTTTCTGAATTAAGTGTCATTTAAGCCCCTCAGTCTGTTGCCTTATTAACTCTTCAAGCTTTACTTCGTTTTTTTAAAAATCCTCTTTGGACAATGCTGCTTAGATGGAAGTAAGCCCCCCCCCCCCAAATGGAGACTAAACACTGAAATATGTGAATGATTACAGAGATGTGGAATTTTAAAGTGAGACATTTTTTAAAACAATCATATTTCAGATTTCTATCAAAAATATTTGACATATCTAGGACTTCTGGTTTGCATTGCAGCGGAAATGGGATGCAGGAAGGCAGAGCTCTGCCTTCCGTGTCCGATTTCGCCCTGCTGGGGGCCCTGAAAAGGGCCTAAAATCATCCTGAAGAGACAATGAAGAGGAGGGGTGCCTTATTTATCATGGAGAGACAGCAGTCTTTCCATTCTATCCAAGGAAAGCCCTCCAAACCAGCAGGGGAAAGACCGGCTACATTAGCTGCTGGCAACTGAAGGAGAAAAAAAGCACTACTTAAGACATTGTAAACAGCATGTTTGGAACTGGGTGAGAATATTGATCCTTTCTTTACTGTTTTACAATTTAATTTTCTGGGAAAGGCTCCCAAGAAGTGAAAAACCTTTGAATGTAAATGGAAGCAGCGTTTTAATATTGAAGTGGAAGTAATATAAAGCTACAGTTTCAATAAATTTGAAAACTGAGATAACTGTTAAGATTTTCTCTTTGGAAAAAAAACATTGAGGTGAAATATAAGAAATCAATCCTTTGTTTTAAGAGTGGTAAATGGACTTTGAATGACAACTAGTGGTGGATATGTGTATAGCACCATAATTTGCTTTGCTTGGTGATTCCTACTTTGGGAGAACAGCTGGCAATAAAGGAAAATATTTTGATATACTTACCATCCTGACCTTCTTGGATTATAAATACCTACTGAGTTTGTATTTTTAACTTCAAGAGCTAGTGGGAGAGAAAGAAAAAATTGACCTTGGACTACACCAGGCTGGGAAAGACTTTTCAGCTGTTTTCATAGAGGTTGAACATTTTGAATATTTTGAACATTGTGGATTACAATCTTGCCTGATTGACAATTTTTGGTATACTTGAAACAAGGGATTACTATAAAATATTGATTTCAGAACTGAATCTATACTTTGGAAACTATTGGATTATAAAGGATACATTTAAAGACCAGAAAACTAATCCCAGGAATGATTTCTCAAGAAAAAACAAACACCTTTCAGAAAGAAATATATTCTATGCTACAACTAATTCACCAAACAATAGAAGATTTGACCTTTTAGAGGGGGTATTATATGTTTAAATACTTCTTTGAATAAGTTTAAAATAATAGATATAATTAGACCTTTATAATGCAAGATATGATTTAGAATTAAGATAACATTTTTTCCTCTCTTTTTTGATATGGGAAATAAGATAAGAAAAGGATTGATTTGAATAAAACTTTTAGCTATATAAATGTAATTAATATTGAGAAAATCATAACTGATAAAGACATTTCAAATACTGATGGGAAATTAAACTTTAACAAGGACAGGATATTGATTAATGAATTGACATTATTGATTTATGAATTGACATTATTGATTTATGAATTGATATTATTGTTATTGTATATTAGTAAAATATGATGAAGATGCTTATATCTAACACTGTATAGATTAACAGTACCAAAAATCATAATGGTGTAATGAAGGGAAAATGGAAACAATATGGAGAAGAAAGGAGGATCTGGAAAAAAATACTGGATTGTATAGTATTGAACAGATTTATATTGAAGAGGTTAATGTTAAATATCTGAACCCAGACAACATGTTGTTTACTAAGTACTGAAGACTGTAATTTTTAAAAATTAATAAAACTTTTATAAAAAAATATTTGAGATATCTCATATTCTATATTGGTTAGTTGATAGACTTTGCTGATATATAAGTTAAGTCACATCAGGCCTGGTTAATATCTGGATGGAAGATTCCTAGGACCATAGACTACACAGGAAAATGAAAATTATCCTGGAAGAAGACAATGACTGATAACTTCTATTTTCAAAAAATGCATGTTTATATTCCTATAATCACCAGGCATCAATGACCTGAATGACTGAGAATCTCCATAGACACCAGGCATCAATCTCCACTCAAAGGTGTTGTTAAGCTTTATTTTGTTTTAATATTAAGATCTTGAAAATTCTTTTTCCTTAATTCTCTGTGTTAGTAAGTCTGTAAAGAGTTTAAACAATCTTTATTTGATGCGTCTATTTACTTCAAAAAAGCCTCTAGCCATTACAGGTGTGCCAATTAATGTTTGTGGTAGTGAATATAATTATTAGCAATAAAACTATTCACAAAACTCAGTTTTAGAAAGTGTCTAAGAAACTTGCATTCCATTGTATTTTATGCTTGAGAACATCTAAAGAGAGTGGAACGAATGGAATTTTAATGTAATCAGTAAATTGTATTAAGCACCTTTTTAACAAAATCAGCTATAATTTTTAATGGTTAAAACTGTAGTGCTTTGATTCTATCTATCATCTATCTATCTATCTATCTATCTATCTATCTATCTATCTATCTATCCATCTATTTATGTCAGTTGTAGTGTGCCTGCACATGCGCACACACACACACACACACACACACACACACACACACACAAACACAAATAAATTTGGGGCAAATATTCAAAAGATAATTGTTCTACATTGTAAATCAAAAAGACAAGCAATTTTAATCAACTACTCTTTCATGAAAATATTTTTTTCTTTCCCTCAGTATACCTTTTTCCCCCTGGAATCTAGAGCCACTTTACTAATTCTAGAATCACTTTACTGCTACTTTAACAAAAGATTCCATGACTTTCAAAATGAAGACTGTTCTAATAGAACCAAGGCTTCTCATGAATGGGAGAAATATATGAAGCCAAATTGCCCTCATTGGAAACTTTTGGGAGATTGGATAAGCCAAGAAAAATCTTAAACTCATTTGATATAATTTATGCGCTTTTCATAATTTTTCACTGCGCATACTTTTCTGAAAATGCTGAATTCTGTCCTTTTTCTCCAATCTATTTATTGCTTCCTATGATATCATTGCATGAATTCCAATAAACTCAGGCAAATATGAAGCAGGGAATGCTATTTCTTGTAACAATTGTCTTCTGTGTAAAAAAGAAAAAAAAAAGACAGGGTATCCCTGGATTAAAACAAAATGACACACTGGTACCCACAAACATTTCTGGTGTTTCTCACACATGAGCAGCTAGTCTCCCAATCATGAAGAAGTAGAGATTTCCTCAGTCCAGAATTACTGCTCACTGAGGTGAATAAAAGAGACCAAGGAAGAAGTATTTTCTTTTCAGCTGTCCTTCTAAAGACAACTTCTCCTTTTCTTGGAGTGAGTCATTTTTGCATGACTGCTTTGTTGTCTTTCTCCATCTTGAATGATCTGATGCTACAGCTTCCATTCTATCAGAAATATGGTTTCTTTGTTGCTCTTTCTCCTTGTTTCTGGAGATTTTTCTGATTTTTTACACTTTCTTTGCCTGCTGCTGAGTTTTCCTCTGTGGGAAAAAAATCTTTGTATGCCTCCTTTCAACTGATGGATTTGCAAAATTACTGCAATATTTTTATTGTAATAGAAAGGAATCTTCTAGGTGATTTGGTCTTTAGTTTTCACCATAACATTTGTAGAATAATTTTTAGCATCACCAGGTAAGGAGAAAGGATTAGGCCTTTCTGAAACAGTGTTTCTCAATTTTAGCAACATTAAGATGTGTGGATTTCAGTTTCCAGAATTCCCAACCAGCATTTGTCTGAGGAATCTTAATGTTGTCATTCCTGAGAAACACTGCACTAGGGAACTGCTGCTATTTTATATGGACAATATGGAACTAGAGATGGACACAGAGTCTGACATCTAGAACCGCTTAATCAGACACGTCAAACTCACAATGTCAGTGATGTCGCACAATGTATCGGAACTTTTTCCCCGTTGCCAGCAATGGGGTGGGCATGGTTTCCTCGTGAAGCGTCTAGCCCGTGGCCCGGCAGTTTGATACCCCTGGCTTACATCCAC